ATGTGGACAAACCTGGGTGTCTCCCAGGGAAGAAGTTCGATCTGCTGCAATGACAGTACTCTGGGCCCGGGAGTCGCTGCTGTTGTGTGCCATCGAGTCGATTCCGACTCATAACGACCCTATAGGACAGAGCAGAAGTGCCCCACAGGGTTTCCAAGGCTGTAAGCTTTATGGAAGCGGACTGCTACAACCAAGGAGCAGCTGGTGGGTTCAAACTACCGACCTCTAAGTTAGCAGCTGAGCGTTTAACCACTCTGCCACTAGGGGCTCGCTACGAGTCGGAATCAACTTGATGGCAATGATTTTCTTTTTTTTGGTTAATCTTTACAGGAGCAGATCGCCAGGTCTTTCTTCCCCCGTGGAGCCGCGGGTGGGTTCGAACTGCGTGCACTGATGAAAAGCACTGGAATGCAAGGGGATTTACCATCTTCATTTCGTCCCACAACTCATCATCAGTAGATCTAGTAGGAATTTTGTTTGTTGACTATTTAGGGTTTTTGCATTTCCTTCCATTACTGAAGCGATGAACATATTAAGACACCAGAAGCAGCAATGAAGTGCTAATTAGGTTATAATGATCCTTCGTCCCCACAACAAATTAAATTGAAATTCTCAGAAGTCTGGACTCCCGCCAGGCACAGGGAAGTGACTGGAAAGAAGCTGATGCCTTTTTTTTTTTTTTTAAATTTCTACCATTTCAGCCCCCAAGCTGACGGAGAAGAGGACAAAAATGAAAACCTGGGGAGACCGTTCCCCCTCCACCCCGGCTCTCACTTCCTCCAGGGTTCCAGGGAGCAGGCAGGTCTCAGGAGCCCAGCAGCCCCCCCTCTGCAGGCATGAGCAGGGTGGTCTTTGCAATGAGGGGGCTCCCCCCCTGTGCCTGAATCCCCTGATTCCCAGGATCCACGTGTTGAGGTCTCAGATTCAGAGCTGCAGCTGTGATCTGAGATCACCGCGGGTCCACCACGAACTCCACTGGCTATTTTTGTTCATAAAATAGCAAAAGAGGAGGCACTTCGATGTCTGCCATGAAAGAAAGCTGTGCCCTTGGGTTTGACTGGGAGCCATGAATCACATTTGCTCTTTTAGGAAACAAGGCAGCTCCCAGCTGTTTGTACACCACTTCTTAGGGGAGAGTGTT